CGCCGCCATCACGACGACGCCAAGGCGGCGGAGTACCTCATGGTTGACAAGCTGGAGTTCCTATCGTCAACGTAGCGCTTGTGGCGAGGCCTCTCCGGCATCGACCCGCACGTGGAGGTCCGGGTGGGCAACTACTCGGCGGTGACACGTCATCTCATCAGAACCGTGAACCCGAGTGGAACCGGTGTTCGCCTTCTCCAAGGATCAGCTCCAAAGCGGACGGCGTGGAGGTGATCAATCAGGACAAGAACCTCATCGTGTGGGGACAAAGATCGCCGGCAAAGCTACCATGAGCATCGTCGAGGTCCCAAGCTTGGCTCCTCCTAACCACCCTCTGGCGCCTCGGTGGTACGGGCTCAAGGCGCCAAGGGCGATCAGGGATGGCGGCAACGAGGTCATGGTCGCCACCTGGAAGGGGTCATGATCCGACGAGGCCTTCGCGCGCCAAGCCTTTGTTGGCGCGCATGACACGGCACCGGTCGCCTTTGGCCGCCACCAGACGAAGTGCTACTTGGCGCCACGGCTGTGCTACCTCCGGTGCCAGGTCATCGCCACGCAAGACTTGTCCACCGTACCTTGACCGCAGCAAAAAAAATTTAACACTTTTTTAAACTAGTTTAAAATCTAACACTGTTTTTTTTTCTTCAAAACTAACACTTTTGGCCACGCCTATTGCCATGGCGCGGCAAAACGACTACGCCGCGCCATGCATGGTGGCGCGGTAGGAGGATGATGTGGCAACGACCGGGGCTACTGACCGGTGACGTGGCAGGGTCTGCCGCGCCATCGATCTTGGCGCGGCAGTGACGCGCCACGGTGCATGGCGCGGCAGGACCTGGACGCAGACAGAAGATCGGCTGCTGTCGATGAGGATCGGCAGCCACGTGACCATGGACCCCGGCTTCCTCGACCCCTCGCTGGTGGGCTCCGACCAGGTGCTCTAGTCCGACATGAGGTCGTGCAGCACGTTCGACTACTGCGCGTCTAACCAACGTGCCTTCTTCGGCGATTTCGTGGCGGCGATGACCAAGCTCAGGAGGATCGGGTCAAGACGCCGGCTACCGGCGGCGAGATCCGTCGAGACTAACGGTTCCCGAACTAATTCCTAGTTAATCTCACCGGCAGTGCTGCCGCGACGCATTGAAACAAATATGAAGCAAATAAATGAAGTCCGTGCGCAAGTTGACAAGCTGCCACATAATATTTTTATTGGTTCGACACAAGTTCGACATAACATAACCAACTAAGCCTGCAAGTTTTGGACGACAATATTCATTCGACCTAACAAACTAAGATCCAGGAGTGTAAGGATCCCTCGGACGTCTCTGTCTCTTCGGATTTGTTGGCAACACATTGGGAGTGTAGCCAACGTCGGTGTGGTCGTGTTGCCGGTGCGGTCGTGTTGCCGGTGCGTACGGCTCGTACCCTACAAGTATATGATATGCACGATTACTTATAATCCTTATGATCGTTAGTTCATGGAGCCTACGTATTTAAAAAAACTACCTTTGTTAGTACCTGCGAGGCTCCTTGGGTACCAAGCGGGGCAACACCTAGCTGAGACATGCCGATCTCGTCCTGCGGGCAATCATCCCACTGGTGGTGCTGTCTGTGGAAGTCCGGGGGGTCGTCGTCGTCGTCCTCGGTTGCAGGGTCCTTCCCAGCGCTATGATATGGTGGTGTACGCACTGCGGAAGTGGCACCTGTCACTGGCTGAGAAGAGCCGGCTGGTGTCCTCAAAGAGCCAGAAGACATGCCACCCGACCGCGCCGGGACTGCTGGTTCCACCCAAGGAGTGTCCATACAGCTCAGCTTCTGAGCTAGCTTCCTACAGCTCTTCTTCACCTTATGCATAAATAGACGCTAAAGTTAGTGAATTTCCCAAACGCATATACACTAAAGAAATATTTTCAGAATGGACAAGTTTATGTTTACCTCCACAAAAGCGTCGAGAACGCCTGACCCCTGCCCTCTAGACTCGTGAAGCCGAAACGCTGTTTCGTTGGACATCCTTGCAATTGTGTCGCCAGGGTACAGAAACACGGTTGGACAGTTTTAGTAAACATACTTAATACCAAATGGATAACAAATTATACCATTCAAGTATCTTACCACGTATCTTTGAGCGGGGCTCTCTGTATCTGTGTGTCGGCCCTAGTGGCAACGTCGTACACATCTTCGATCACATCTTCCTCCGAGTCCTCATCAATCGCCTCCTCAGTGTACGGGGGCTTGATATGTGTCCTCGTAGACCTGTGAAGCCACCGCAGGTACTCATCGAAGGTGTGCTGGTCGTGTGGGGGACCCGCATGGACCGGCTGTCGTTCCCTGTTCTGCCACAAGTGGATGTACGAGTTGTGTGTCACGCGTCAATCCTTGGTCTTGTACCTCTTCCTGTGGTCATACCTGCAACAAAATGATGTTAGTTGTACCACACACACCTCTGAATTGTAGCTTTGTTATTAATTGATAACGCACCCGTGCAATTCTTGATTGGTGGAGTAAAGCGGTGGTGGGTAGCGTGTCATTCTTCCAAACTGTCTATAGACCCTAATGGGCAAGTGAATCTCGACCACGTGGAAGAAAATAAGAGGTACGTTGCAGCGATACTCGTCTGACTCATCCCTAGTGACAGGACTCAGATAGTACTCGATCTCCAGAGCATCCCAAGGACACCAGTGCACCTGAACATTTCATAATTGAGTTAGATTATGATATAGTGTATATCGAACAAGACACATATATGATAGTAAAGATAGCGTAACCTGGTGCTGTGTCAGGACGTCGAGACCGTCAGTGTACTCCCTATACTTGCGCCTAGCATTCCCTCTAACTAACTCTGCTTCCGTCCAGATATACAGAGCTGTAGGGAGTGTATCCTGCCCGTTCCATTGCTGCATTGAATACGATAATGAATTAGCCATTAATAATTTCATCATATGTAACTGCCTCGAAGAATATAGTGAACCAAAGTACTTATCGGTAAACCAGTATTAAGGGGCCTCCCAACGGGCCATCGTTCTCAACACCAAACCTGGAGTAGGTAGGAGCAACCCCTAAGATTCGCATACCCTGAGGTGCGACAGCAGGCAATGCATAGCTGTCGATACGTCCATGCCAGGACTGCGCTGCCCCAGCTGTACGCCGCTATGTTCTCCCACGGCTGGCGTAGTATGTCTAGGAAGAGGAAAGCACCAAGGAAGTGCCAGAGCCACACTCTAGCGAACCTGTCGATCTGAGCCTCCTAAGCCTGTGGGTCCAAGTAATCAAAGCGCTCTGTGATCTAGGACGACGAAACAACGGAACTTTTTCTGAAATTCACCAAAGAAAATGAGACCCAATGACTGTAGGAAAGCAATGTAAGTATTAAATAGGCTTGAATTGCTCACTTATTTTTCTTTAAAACCTCATCGTCCGATGGAAGAAAGCTAGTGAACTGAGCCACCAGCTCTCTCCAGTGATCGTTGTCAACTATACCCGTCACTGGAAGTCCTCCCAACCGAAGGCCCAAGATAGCCTTCACGTCCTGCATGGTCAAGGTCATCTCGCCGCAAGGTAGGTGGAACGTGTGGGTCTCAGGCCTCCACCTATTATAAGAATAGAACGATTGTTAGTTGACTTAAATTTGTTATAAGAATGTTTACGTACAAAGAAGGCACTCGCACCTATCTATAGCTACAGTAGTAGTGCCGGGTGAAGGGGCGGAAGACCGTAGTTGACAACACGGACAAGCTCGAGGAAGCCGGCATGCCGTATATACGGCGTGTAACGCTTGTCCCACTGGTGCGCCCTGGTGTGCGTGCGGGGCCTCAAAGGAGGCAAGGCCACCTCTGCGTCGGTGTCACTCAAGATGTGTGCTCGGTGCTGGTCATCGTACTCCACCTCAAGAATGGGATACAACGGGTGCTGCGTGGGAGGGGTCATCCTGTTATAAATTGATAAACAAAGGGTTAGAGTATTCAAATTAACAATATTCAAATTAATATTATGTAACATTGCAAAATTTGAACTACTTGTTATGCAATATGAACACAATATGAAAACATATGTATATATTCAAAGTAACATTAACAGGCATATTAAACAACTTCACTAGAAAAATAAGTATTTGACGAAACTTTATCAAGTCATCCAAATCGACGTATCACGCACTACTAAGTACCGACACTTGAAAACTAGTATCTATACCCAAAATCCCTAACTAAATAACTAACTATAAACTAAATAATAAATACCTAATCAATCCTTAAACCCAAAATCCTAACTAACAGTAACCTAAACCCTAACTACCTAACCAAACCTTAACTATACTACAACACACAACCTCAAACCTAAAAACTACCTACCTAAATAAATAAATTCACTAACCTAACTATCCTAAATCACTAACCCTAACTATCCTAAATCACTAACTATACTAAATCACTAACTATTTTAACTATCATAAATCACTAACTATCCGAAATCAATAACAATAATAAAACCCTAACTATCCTAAATCACTAACTATCCTAAATCAATAACAATCATAATAACATGAAATCGAGAGGGAGCTACCTTGATATGAGCGGGCGACCGGTGGCCGTGACGCGCCGGTGTTCGTGGCGCGGCCGGCGCGGGCGCTGCGCGGTGGGAGTGGGCGGGCGCGGCGGGCGCTGGCGGCGGGGCGCTGCGCGGCGGCGGGCGGGCTGGCGTGCGGGCGGGCGGGCTCGCTCGCGATATTTATCTGGTTCTGCCGCGCCATGCGCCGTGGCGCGTCACTGCCGCGCCAAGATTGGTGGCGCGGCAGACCCTGCCACGTCACCGGTCAGCAGCCCCGGTCGTTGCCACGTCATCCTCCTGCCGCGCCACCATACATGGCGCGACACAGGCGTTTCGCCGCGCCATGCCAATACGCGCGGCCAAAAGTGTTAGTTTTGAAAAAAAACAGTGTTAGATTTAAAATTAGTTTACAAAAAATGTTAATAATAAAAAAAATTCACCGCAGCCGCCGGGCGCAGATGAGCGTGTTCGCGAGGGTGCAGCGCGGCGCGCAGAGGTGGTACACGCCGGCGTCGCCGAGCGCCAAGTGGGATGAGGGCTTCTTCCTCGTCGCGGTGTGGCCGTTCGACGAGCCCCTTGAGATCGCCGTCATTGACATCGCCTCGCCGGAGCGGCATGAGATGTTGGGCGAGGTCACCTTCCCCATGGGAAGCATCAAGGTGCAGCAGTTCGACAAGAAGAAGTTCAAGCCGCCGGCGCCGTCATGGCACGACCTCGAGCTGCCACGTTCGTCCGACGGCGGTGGCGGTGGTGGCCAGTGGCGGATCCAGAAAAAATTTTAGAGGGGGTTGAACAACACATATCTCCAATTGCTGCTCGATCTTAAGTCTCAGCTCTACCTACATTATAGAACTTTGCCTAAAAATTCATAGGGCTCTAGGGGGTTCCACTGCTCCGGCATAGGTAGGGGGGCTCGAGCGGCGGCCCCCCCCCCCCGTTGGTGGCGATGATACCCGGGATAGATCAGGACGGCGGCACGAGTTCAGGAGCAAGATACAACTGCGCGTATACTACGATGCGGCGTACCACGTCCTCGACGAGGTCACGTCGTACGCCAGCGACTTCCAGCCATCGGCGCGGCGGCTCCGGTCGCAGGCCATCGGTGTCCTCGAGCTCGCCGTCCTGCGAGCAACCGGCCTCCGGTCAACGAAGCGCCCGAACGGCGGGCGAGGGACCGTCGACGCCTACTGCGTCGCAAAGTACGGGCAGAAGTGGATCCGGACACGCACGCTCCTCGACACGGCCTCGCCGAGCTGGAAGGAGCAGTTCACGTTCGACGTGTTCGACCCCTGCACCGTGCTCACCGTCGCCGTCTTCGATAACAGCCAGCTCTCCTCCGCCGAGGCCTCGCGGCGCGGCGACACCGACGCGCCGCTGGGCAAAGTCTGCATCCGCGTATCCACGCTGGCGTCAGGCCGCACGTACGAGCAGCCGTACTCCCTGTTCGTGGTGCACCCCACCGGGCTCCTCCAGTGCGGCGAGCTCCACCTCGCCGTCCGGTTCACGCACACGGTCCTCGTCCTGATCGTGTTCGTCGTGCTGGCGTGGATGCCCTTCCTCGTCCTTCCGACCTTCTTCCTCTACCTGTTCGCCGTCGGCGCGTGGAACTTCTGGCAGCGGCCGGTGGGGCCGGCGCAGATGGAGCACTACAGCGGCGGCGTTCCCCAGGCCATGCTCGAGGAGGAGTTCGACGCCGGGTTGCCGTCGGGGACCCCGCCGGACGTACTCCTCCAGTGGTACTTGCGACTCCGGGAAACGGCCGCTCACATCCAGGGGTTCATCGGTGACGTCGCCTCGAAGGGAGAACGCGTGCACGCGGTGCTGGAACGGAGGGACGGCCGCGCCACGGTGATCGCGCTCGTGGCGGTGGCCGCGCTCACCGTCGTGAGCTACGCGGTGCCGTTCAAGGCGCTGGTGTCTGTCACCGGGGTCTACGTGATGAGGCATCCGCTGCTGCGGCGGAAGGAGCCGTCGGCGCTGATGAGCTTCTTCCGGCGGTTGCCGTCCAATGCCGATGTCATGATGTGTATTGTGAGCATCTACGGAGAACTCAAGATTCAATTATCTCACTGGTCTATTTTCAATTAAAATATCTTTACCCTTATTATCAAGATTCTCCCAAATTCTAGGATCAAAGACATCATGAATACAAGGTTGCACATCATCAATTGAATTTTCAGGTTGAGAGGAAGGCTGTAAATTTTCATTTTCTATAGCATCAACTTATTCACTTAAATTATCATTAATTTGTTGTTGCTCTTCTTCTTGATTATCAAGTGCATCTATAGGGTTGTCATCACGCACAGCACTACTTGAAGCTGAAAAAAACTTATCTAAAGCACCTTGTTGTGACTAAACAAACTATTCTTCTTGTCTTTTCCGTTTTCTTTTCGTAGCCCCTGACAAATATTTCTTAGGTAACATTCTAAAATTCTTACACCTGACCTAAATTATAAGAAAAACATGACTATATGAGTATAAAGTACTAGACAAAATTTGAAAAGAAAAAAAAACCTTAGGGCCTAGACAATTTAGATATGAACTAATTCAGAATCAAGATTCACAAATCACAAAAAGGGCATAAGGCAATAACCAAGATAAATCTTTAGATGTCGTCGACTCGTCGTCCTCGTCGAGCCCTGCCTCGGGCCCTCGGCTGCCTTGTGCCCTTGTTGCGTGGTGATCGCTCGATCGGCGTGCGTCTCGCCGTTCGCGGAAGTCTATACGAAGTAGCGATCGGCCGATCGCCGATTCGCTGAATCGCTGTCACGCTGTGCGGGCGCGGCGTTGGCGGCGGCTCGGCTCCTGAGTCCTGAACTCCTGATTGCTGATTGCTGAAAAGGAAGACAAAAGGCCACGGGCTCTGAAAAGAAACACCAGCGGCCAGCGCACTGAGAGGCCGACAGGCGATGGGCTGTGCGGCGTTGACTGCCTGCTGGCCTGCTGTGCGGCGCTGCTGGCCTGCTGGCCTGCTGCCCGCCTGGGCCCCCATCCCGCCTGGGCCCCTGACCATCGCACCTCCTCCCCCCCCCCTAGGGGGCCGGCACTGCCTCTACCCACTGCGCCGTTTCAAATTTGATCATAGCGAGTAGTTGAGGCAGCAACATGTTCGCGCCACCAAAGCATCTTGTATATCTCTCTTTCCACAGCTTGCAAGCTACCAGGGTGAAAAGGGTGTCTCCACCGCGCTTGTCGGTTCGGCTCCAAATCACTCTCCACACTCTCCACCAGTCAGGATGGTGGGATGTGATAGATGTTAATGCTCTTATGGTTAAATTTGAACTTAGAATAGCTTGATACAGGACAAATACATATCCATTATATTTTTGGACAGCGACGAGAGTACTTTGTAGTGTAGAAGGTAAGAATGTTAAGCTGATGTGTTCCTTGCGCTCAGCATCCTATCCTTCTTGGAGGCGTCGTCTAGGAAACCCCATGTGTGCCTTGGTGGATGTTAGTCAACATAAGGCCGTGCATATGTGAAATTCACCTCTTTGTTGTGTGGTGGGTCGCCGACAATCAAAGCCGGCAACAATGACATGTCATGTTCTCTTTCTAGTGGGGGTCCAGGATAGCAGTGTAAGTGGTGATGCTTGAAAGCTTTGGGTTGATGTCCCTCGTATGACTATATTAGTCACTATTGTGCAAATTTGGCAAGATGATACACGATGGGCCCTGGTTAGTGTGAGTTGTCATGTGTTGTTTTAGATTGCCATCTAAGCCCCTGCACTAATAGTGTTCTGGAGCCGTACTCTCTCCGTCCTAAAATAAGTTGTTCTGTTCGTTTGGCTGATAAGCCATGACTGAAAGTATTGTTGGCTGATTTATTTTGAGAGAAAAATATTATTCGTTGGCTAAAAAAGTACGGCTTATAAGCCAAGCGAACATGACAAATATTGTTTGGGACGAAGGAGGTATAACAAATGAAGGCGCTGTGTGTACTGCAGCAGCGACCGCCTACGACCAGACCAAGGAGTCAGTGAAGATGGTCCATGTAATGTAGCATACAGTTTCAACAATAGCTAGTTAAGACGGAATGCGAAATCAGACGACTTGACTGGATGTGAAAGATGAATTCGGCTCTGTTTGATTTGCTGAAAAGTCATAGTTGAAAATACTATCTATTAATTTGTTTAAGAAAAATACTATTTGTTCACCGAAGGACGGCTCATGAGAAAAGCGATCAAGACTGGAGTGTGTGGTTCATTGGACAATGATTGGCATCTGCTACGTACTGGAGTGTGTACTCCTGTCTAGCCGACTGGTATACGTGATTAGGATTTTTAGTCAACTTTCTTTATGCTACTTTTTTGAGAGTCAACTTTATGCTATTGATAAGGTGAGCAGCCTCAACTTCTATACTACTCTGTCCATCTGTTCTAAAAAATAAATTGTTATTCTGTCCTAAGATAAACTTTTTTAATTTTAATCAAAATCATAAAATATAATGTGTTAATAATGAATTTTTTTAATAAATCATGTTTTACTCTATGTTTTGACTTTTCTATATATATTTGTTTTATTATATATCTAGAGCAGTGAGTATCTAAATGTGTAGCATGTATCTAGAAAATTTAGATGTCTTACAGTTTGAAGCAGATGAAATCACTACCGGAGACGGCTTCTTTGCCGAGTGTTCCAGACTTTGCCGAGTGCTTTTTATCGGGCACTCGGCAAAGAGGCTGTTTGCCAAGTGCCAGAGAGAAAACACTCGGCAAACAACTGGCACTCGGCAAAGAGGTGGTTTGCCGAGTGCCGAGCACTCGACAAACAATAACACTCGGCAAAACTGGTCTTTGCCGAGTGTTATTCTCCTGACACTCGGCAAAGGGCCGCCACCGTTAACGGTCGGCAGCCGCCGTAACCCTTTGCCGAGTGTCTTCTCCTGACACTCGGCAAAGCGGTGATTTGCCGAGTGTCATTTTTGGACACTCAGCAAACTATATTTTTTTTCTTCACTTTTGATCTCTAAACTTTTTCTGCAGTCCTCATACAATACTTGGTACTCCATGTTCCAATGTGGCACATTTCTCGGACTTTTTCTATATTTCTTTAATTTATTTCATTTAATTGAATTTTCTTGGATAATTCAAATTATAACTGCTAGTCATCTGAATAATGAAAAAATGAATGGAAAAATGATATTCATGTTATTTAGTATAATGTGAGGCTGTATCCAGAACCAAACCACCAATTTTAAACATCTTGTTCATGAAACACGACCATGAACTTACGGTCGAGTTGTTTTTAAATTCTATAAAAAGCAAACGAAGTCCGAAAATCATGAAACTTGTCAAGATGTCATGATATCATATGTGGAGGCTGTGATAAAAAATTGAGAAGGTTTCGCACAAGTTGTCACGTACGATGCTTGCAAACCGAAGAATCTCCGAAGAAGTTTCATGATTTCGTGAAGAGGCCAACGAGGTGGCAAGCATCGTACGTGACAACTTGCACGAAACATTCTCAAATTTTTATCATAGCCTCCACATATGATATCATGACATCTTGACAACTTTCATGATTTTCGGACTTCGTTTGCTTTTTATAGAATTTAAAAATAACTCGACCGTAAGTTCGTGGTCATGTTTCGTTAATAAGATGTTCGAAATTGGTGGCCTGTTCCTGGATACGGCCTCACATTATACTAAATAACATGAATATCATTTTTCCATTTATTTTTTTCATTATTCGGATGACTAGCAGTTATAATTTGAATTATCCAAGAAAATTCAATTAAATGAAATAAATTAAAGAAATATAGAAAAAGTCCGAGAAATATGCCACATTGGAACATGGAGTACCAGGTATTGTATGAGGACTGCAAAAAAAGTTTGAAGGTCAAAAGTGAAAAAAATATGATTTGCCGAGTGTCAAAAAAATGACACTCGGCAAATCAGAGCTTTGCCGAGTGCCAGGACGTATGACACTCGGCAAAGAATTTTTTTAAAAAAATTTAAAACCCCTCTTTGCCGAGTGCCAGTCCGGGGCCACTCGACAAAGATTTTTTTAAAAAAAAAACCCTCTTTGCCGAGTGCCAGGACAGGTGGCACTCGGTAAAGAATTAAAAAAATAAAAAAAACTTTGCCGAGTGCCAGATCGGGGGCACTTGGCAAAGGAGGGATTTAACCTCCCGGCCCAGCCAGCCCACACACACCGCACACACGCACACACGCCCGCCCGCGCCCGCGCCAGCTCCGCCGCCAGAGGAGGAGGAGGCCAAGAGCTTGGCAGCGCTCTCGCCGACGCCCCGGCCTGCGGCGAAGGCGGCACCAGGTAAAACCCGTGTCTTGTGCTGCGCGCTTGTCCGGTTTGAAGATAAAACTGTTGTATTCATTGGTGATGTTGAAAGTTGCAGAATCAGTTCGGAATCTGATTTGCTAAAGTTTTTTGTTGTTGCAAATTTAGCAGTAAAACTATCTATAACATAAGATGATAGTAGTATGACAATTTTCTTAAATAACTACCGTTGCTATTAATATCTATTATCTTTTAGGCTTCTTTCTTAGTTATTCAATGAGCTATTTAATAATAGCATTTGTCTGCAAGACTGAAAATATGCGAAATTAGCCGATTAAAAGGAATACACAATGTTGACATGCTTTACAACACCATTACGAATAACTAATTGATATTTACACAAAGTCCAGCGATACAATATAGGCGAGGTACAGAACAGTAGAAATTAAAATTTTGCAATGCTGAACACTAAATCAAACATATATAAACTACAGAGACATTAGTTCATTATCTAATTTAGGTGAGGATAACAGGAACTTTGGTTATTCTTGGACTGGGTGTAGGAAAAAAATTCATAAGGCCATGTCTATTCTTCATCACCCATTTCACAATGGATTATATCCTCCAATATGCAAAATGGAGTACTTTCTTTATGAGGTTAGTCTGCAGAAATATAGTTTCGTATTCAGTAAAAAAATAGGTGTAGAATTGTAAGAACAGTTCCATAAACGAGACACTGAATTGCCCAATGATAACTCTGAATTGGTCAGAGTTTGCCAAACTGAGTACCTTCTCTCAAAGGCTGGGCCTGCACAAGGCAATCACTAATTAACAAAATAAAAAATAGAAGCTCTCTAATAGGATTATCTAATGTTATCACATTAAATCACATGTAAACAGCATCTATAAATATAAAGTGCAGGTAAATCTACCATAGGAAGGCATGATGATGGATCGATGCAAGTAGTGTTTGGATTGGCAGCAATATTGTATATGCCATTTCAGCCATATCCTTCATTGGAAAAAAATGATATAGATATGGTCCAACAGCAGTACCATGCATCAATATCCATGCT